GTTGTACATTTACTCTGATAAACAGTCCCTCGAATTTCACTCGTCAGACCCTCAGGACTTTAGACAAAAACTGACGTGAAATAACAATCCTTAAGAGGCAACAAATTAACAGAAAACTTGTAGGGCTTAAATCTATTTTGACTGTCAAAACTCTAATAACTTCATAGAAAACCTCACTGGGACCATTTGGGACATACAGAGTGGAACTGTGGGGTGACTCCGAGCCACTCCAAATCCAACTTATCTAATCCATCTAATTAAAAGTCCTCAGAAATTTGTCCAAGCTGCTTACTAATGTCAATAACCACATTATCCAAATACCTCAACATTCTTTTTGTCACGACAGACTCGAGACCTCCTCGCCCACGACCTCATATTAAGTGGATTCATTTCCCTCATATTATTTGGATGATTTGTATTAACCTTTGCTTTCGAGTACCGTACTCGTTATTGTATCAATATTGTGACCGAGAGTAAAAAATGCATTTTGTAATACATATTTTAATAACTAGAAACTATAAGAAAATTATTTTATACAAATTTAGAAACACAATAGAATCCTTTAGAGAAGATGACCGAATTGCTATTAAATTATGACTATACCTTCTTTAGCACAAACTAACCAAGATTCATCAAATAAAAATGCAAAAGCAGGCTGTGATTGATAATATAGGAAGGAATCATTTATCATTTCTAACCCTCTTCGCACTACGTTTTTTTTAAAAGATTGGAATGTACGAGATAAATCATACACTGCAGAGATTGTACACAAACTCAACGTGTTATTTACCCCGTTAGAAAAAATATTTATTACATTTAAAATGACAAAGATTAATGTTAAGTACAATTATGTGTAGTTTTTAATTCTCGTCTAATTAACATTGTTGGACCGAATTGATAATCAACGCAATAAATAATACGAGTTAAAACATGTCCTCTTTAGCAATTAAACTCCGGCGGAATTAATTCTACAGTCAAAGGGCGGGGCGGAGGAGGATATCTATGTAAATGGACGACCTCTTGTCATGACTTGTTTAGTGATACATCATTTACCTTGGTTCACTGATGTACCAGATAGTGTACTTTAACAAAATCGTATTTAGTTACGAAGCTTTTAAACAACTATTCAACTTTTCTTTGTGTGTACAATATTGGTCGAGTGAGTACATACGGTTGCAATTTTACGTTTAGTCTTACTCTCAAAATACATCGTGAAATGCAAAAAGCATATCATTGCATGAGAAAATGTAAGGGACAAAAAATTAAAGAAATTCATATAAACTAATAAAAAAATACAATATTTCAGTACTTCTTCTATAAGAAGGGGTTTTAATTAGTTTATAACACAAATGTCTACATTTATTGATTCACAGTGAGTAGAGAGGACTTTGGACTTATGGAATGAAAGATGATTACAACTAGTTGATTGACCAACTAGATAGTCGGACCGAATCGAACTGAAACGACAAGACTATAATTTCTCCTTTAAAAAGTCTCACTTTTTTGTCGATCCAGGTTTAAATCATTTTACGTCAAATTAAACTATTTTAACTTCAAATTAACTTTTTATTTCAAATTAACTCTTGTTAACTTTAATTTAACCTTTTGGAACTTCAAATTAAACCTTTTTAATTTCAAACTTAACCTTTTTAACTAATGTTGGTGTTTAGTGACCGTTAGTAAATGATTATTTGGAGATCGTGAGATGCGGCCTGGTGTGACGTAGGTATTAGAAAAACATTTTCTTTATCGTGCCAACGTTTTTATCTTTATTGAGATCATCTTCAAATACTTTAATTGAGTCTAAAATTTCTAGCATTGTATAAATTCACCTTTTTCACATCCTACATGCATTTGTATAATTTAAACAATGTATATAAATCCCAGGCCCTGAAGATGATTTCAATAAAGATCGAAACGTTGGACCGATAAAGAAAATGTTTTTCTAAAACCTACGTCAAACCAGACCGCATCTCACTATCTCCAAATCATCTTTTTAACTAAAAATTTACTACAGTTTAAGCACAAATATATAGAATATATAAATATATTATATATAATTATATAATACGAATATACTAGTAAATAAAAATATAATACAAATATATAGACATTTTACTTTATATGCTTTTTTTCATAAGTTGTTTAGTGATTTAGAAAAAGGGGTAATTTGAAGGTAAAACAAGTTAGTTTGAAATTAAAAAGGTTAATTTTAAAATAAAAAGTGAATTAAATGAAATTAAAATGGGTTAACTTTTAATTAAAAAGGGTCAATTTAATGCTAAAAAAGGTTAATTTGTAGTAAGAAATTGTTAATTTGAAATCAAAAATAATTAATTTTAATGTTAACAGTTTGAATCAATAGTTAATTAGAAATTGAAATGTAATAATTTAAATTAAAAAGGCTAATTTAGTGATATGGTCAGTTTTATCTAAAATGTATCGAAAGTTTAATATACATTGATAAACAAACTCACCGCCCGTCACTTTTAATGTATTAAGGTTTATTCATATTTTGCATACAAAAAATAGATTTGGTCGAAAAAATAAGACATTCTAAAGGAAAATGTTTATTACCTAATTCTATAAAAACAATTATTGAGTAAAGAGGAAAAAACAGAAAATGCAAAGAAAGATAATAATGTGAAAACACTTTTTTGTCCCCTGTAAGCCGGGAATACCCGATGCAACGCTATGTTAAGCTACCCGATGCTACCCGACGCCTTGCCATGTTTTGGTAGGGTGTGCACATCTATGCGACGTCAAGCACACGCCACGTGCAGTAACACAACGTGGATCATAAATCGGTAGCACAATCGCAACGCCTCTGTTGTTAATGTATTATTTCGAGCAAAACCATGTAATAAATTGTTAGTTAAATTTAATTGTTTTAAATAAAATTATTCCGGTGTTTTGATAAATTTGCTGCCTAACCATCATAATTAAATAATTTTATAAAAACTCTTTATCTTTACTGTTGACTGAATAATTTTTGACCTCGTTTATTTTGGGTTATATTAAAATAAAAATTTTGTAATTAATATAACGCCAAAATTACATATACATAGTTTCAAATAAACTACAAACAATATGAGTGTCCTGTTCTGAAGCTATTCGACGAAAATGGTCTAATTGTATGTGCAAAACCGTGCAATAAATTATTAGTTAAATTGATTAAATCAAAAAAATGGTATTCCGTTGTTTTGATCAATTTTCTACCAAGCCATTAACATTATTATTATTTTTTTAATAAAACCTAATGAATTTTTGATTTCGGATAATTTGGTTTATATTAAAATAAGCATGTTTTAATTACGACAATAACACATGTAGTTTGAAAAAAATATGATTGCCTGTTCTTTTGTCTTCGACTGTACTCGATGCGACCCGACGATATCTGGACAGTGGGGATCGCAGAGCATAGAATAGGGTAGCGTTGCATCGCATCGGGCAGATGTGCACGGGGGTAATACAATCTTATGGAAAATTGGACTTTGGATTTGCGTCGGGTAGTATCGGGTAGCGTCGCATAGCATAGCATCGGGTAAATGTGTTCCTGCTTTAATACCGCGTATTTCCACCTCTACCGCGAATCACATCCGTTAACGTCCGTGCATTCCTTGGAAAAGATTTCTGGAAAATCCTGAAGAATTCTTTCACCCTCATAAAGAACAGCCGTTTTCAACTCTTCTAGGCCGTTAAGACCTGGGTTTCTCAGCCGTAATCCTCGCTTAAGTTGTTCCCAAACACTCAATTCCAACCTAATTCAGGTAGTCATCTACAATACGTGCTCCAAGGGGTCTGGCATTATCTTGCGTTATGAAGTTTCTCTCACGAATGTGGGAGGGCAAATGGCACACGCTCTTCGTTTATGTCTCGTAAGTACTGAGATTTTAGAGATCTTCCTCGCACAAAAACGTCCACGGAACGCCTCACTAGAACATCAACGACCCCCATAGAATGTCACGTGAAGAACCACACAGCATGGGGCGAACCTTTCTCCAGATCGTCTCCATATGGCATCTTGGATCTGTAAAGAGAACTAGTCTTCTCTAGACAAGAATTAATTAATTAATCTAATCTCTCATTAGAATCTTCTAATGTTCAATTCATATGTTCCCGTGCGAAATGAAGCCTGGTCATTTTCTGAGGTGTGTTAAGACCTGCCGGGTGCCGGATCTTGAGGTTATTTTCATTGAGCCTTTTTCTACAAAAGGTAAGCCTTCTTACAGTCCTGGAGAAAATCAAAACACTTCGGAATTGTTTTTATCGAATTTCTAATGTCAATTCCCTTAATGGTGCAGTTTCGTAGAGTCTGATAACGGATTAATCTATGGTTTCTTTGTTCTGCAGACCTAGATTGACTCTGCCCTGGCCCTTCTACTGTGAAGTCTTGTTTCTCTGAAGCGCCGAAGAACTAAATCTCCTGGCGACTTCGCGCTGGCTGTATCCTTTCTCTAATAATGTCATGAGTTCATGACCGTGACACTGACATACCCGCCCAAATGTTGGACTGGAGCAAGTATGGTCTAAGAATAGGAATAATATCAAATGTAATCGACGAAAGAAAAATATTAATTTAAAGCGCTCTTAAGGGTAGCATAATGCTACTTTTTGTACAAATGGGATTAATCGGTATAAAAGTAAACAAAGCATTATTTACGATAACTCATAATTACCTATATTGTAGAAAACACATTAATTTAAAACTTTTCTTCATGGCAGGTAGTCAGGAGTCTTAGCTTGTAATAATAACGTATCTGCTGAGGTTCTTTATAATTACATGAGAATGTTTAAAGCTGCCATTCTCTAAGTAACACTTTTTCACAACAAATTTATAATAGTCCATCGTCTAAGTACGCATTAATGTACAAATTTAGGAACTTATGTCCTGTCACAGCGATAGAAAATGTGTCCGAACACATTCACTACATGGCTACTTTTCTATTCTAGAACATTTATGTAATAATGAAGTTGATTTTTACCATAACTTTACTCACAGCATTTATAGCTACGTCTTTAGTTCTTGGGCTTTGACTCTCCAGGAGCCCAGTATCGGCCTGAAACAAAAATACACATTGGTTAAAAGAAAAGTCATGACATATTGTCATTATTTTTTTGACGTAATGGCAATACAGAATGTTGGTTATTTTTTAACAAAACACACCAATTTATTTTTATGCAAACCGATTTCAGTTGCAAACGCATTTTGGGCACATCCCTGGTCCCATTCTGAGCTCGCCATTTTCCTAAATTGAATAGCAATGCGTTTGTAACAATGCTGTTTATTGCATAATAATAAATTAGTGTGTTAAGTTAAAAAAAACCATTCTAGATTAAAAACATTTTCATCAAATTAAGTTAAACTTATTTTTAAAAAATAATGGCATTATGCTCAGCATCAAATATAACCATACTTCAAAACAAATGTAACAAATCCCCAATTATTTATTAATAATTAAGACTAATTGTTTCATAAACAATAAGAGTTTTTGATACTTTTTAGGCATATAAAACAGCTTAAATTTATTAAGGGTTGTTAGATATTTTTTGCAAATGTTTGACAAATGTTCAACATGCGGTTTTCTTGCACAGATCGCAGATCTCAAAATTAATAATATTTTCTAAATTTTCGATGTTTCAAATATGTAAAATAACGTTCAGGGGAAAAAACGGTAGAATAAATTTTTACGTACATTTTTTGTTACATCACTACCATCGAAAAAAGTACTCTTTTAGTCACTTATTGAGCCACTTATTGAAATTGACTTTCCTTTAAATACTCTCAATTTCTATAAAAGCGTGATATAATAAAAACATTTGGAGTAGAGTTGTGAGCGCAATGAGCCTTTTTGTCCAAATTGGTGTAGACTGCGATGACAACCAAGAGGTCAATCTTACGACTTGTCGATGAGACTATCTTGCAGGAGTATGAGAACGTTTGGGTAATAATTCGTGTATCAACGATTATTTAATATAGAATATACCCAAAAAGGTTTTCCAGATTTGTGATGACAGCAAGTTCATCGTGGAGAATCGCACGACGATCGTCTCTGATCGCAGAATAAATTGGTCGCATTCTGATCCGTACAAAGTCTATCACAGCTCCTTTCTTTGTAATTTCAGTTTCTATATATCGTAGGCAATGTAAAAAGGTCACACGCAAAACCAAACAAACTTAATGAAAGCTCTTTCATAGCAGTTTTCGTAGTGATTTCAGCTTTTACTCGCGCGATATCGCAAGAAATATAAAACGTCGCACGCTAATCCATGCAAAGCTAAAGATTTTTTTTAAATGATTCTAGCTTTTACACGCGCGATATCTTCTCTCATCGCGTGAAATGTATATAAGTCGCACGCTTATACATACAAAATCAATGTCAGATACTTTCCTTGCAATTTCAACTTTTACTCGAGCTATATCGTAAGGTATCGCTCACAGTGTAAACCGGTTATCGGCTGATCCAAGAAAAGTTAATGAAAGCTCATTTGCGATTTTAGCTTCACGATCGCAAGCAGTGTAAACAGTTGGCAACCTGATCCGTGCAAAGTCGATGGAAGATCCTTTCTTTGCGATTTACACTTTTACTCGCCCGATATCACACGGCATCGCACACAGTGTACACAGGTTGCAGGCTGATCTATGCAAAGCAGATGACAGTTCTTTTCTTTGCGATTTCAGCTTCAACTCGCGCGACACCTTTCAATTGCATTACGTGGGACGAGCAAATTTTCTCTAAGGGGGATTTGCCACAAAAGTAAGTGTCCGCATTTTAACCCCTCATGCCCTGTTATTAGTCAGGTAAGTATTATTCTTATTTCTTCGAGTGTAATCATAATATAACTATAACATTAATTCTTTCAATTACATAATCTGTGTATGTTAGGTTTTGTTTGAAATGAAAAAGTTAGTGCCATGAGCGGGATTCGAACCCATGACCTTCGGCTAAATACACCGCTGCTATACCACTTGACCTATCGTGACGTCGATCCACTCGGACACCAACTCACCATCTCCATATACAACCTTTCGAATTTTCCATCCTTTTTGCCATTTTTCAAATGCCGTGTAATCAGGATTTGCTTCTCGGCGAAGTGGCCACGGGGAGCTGTTAGTGAAGCTATACTTCGTTTTACTTATTAAATGCATTATGTTTAAACGGCAAAAAGAGGGAAAATTCAAACGGCGGGGTTGAGATGGTGAGTGGGCGTCCGAGTGGATCGAATTCACGATAGGTCAAGTGGTAGAGCATCGGTGTATTTAGCCGATGGTCATGGGTTCGAATCCCGCTCGTGACACCAATTTTTCATTTCAACCAAAATCTTACACAAAAAGAGTAAGTAAATGAACGAAGTAATTTGGTCAATGGACCCCTAATATAATGGATATAACATTAATTTCAATCTGAACCCGAATAAAATAATATACTCTTCATAAGTTATGAATAATACAAACTGAAGTATAAATAGGGAGACAATACCAATAAAAAAAAATCCATATGATCTTTAAAATAAATTAAGTTTACTTTTACCTCGTCTTAGTTGCAGAATACTTCTGAGCGTGATTTTCGCACAACAAACTCACTTATTTGTGTGTACATGTGGCTGAGAAAGCACGTAATACAAACCATTTGCGGTAAGGTTGATGAGTGCAGAATTTACCGCCTATTTATGATTTATAATTGAGAAAAGCCAATGAGGCCTTTCACGAACAAGTCATAGGGAGTCAATCAAAATTTAAAAAAAAACTTTAGATTTAACAGGAACCAATGATTTATGATGGTATTGGTAGGTCTGCGAGTGGATGAACCGATCGACTGATCACTTGACGTTTCATTTATATACGCTTCGGCACAACACCATCATCATTGAGGAACCGTAAACCACAGTCAGACCATTACGTAGGTTGCGTTATGAACGTGGGGAATATAATCCGATCAAATCTAATATTAATTGGTTCCGGAACAGCAAGTAAAAGTCATTGTTTTTTCTTAGTGATGGGTTGTCATAGACCTTAATATTATATACGACAATACATCGACAATCGTACTCCATGCAGATAGAGTTTGCGAAACTCAATCCATCCACCTGTCCATTTATCACCACCTTCTCGAACACCATTAATTAATTTGCCCACACTTGCAAAGTAAATTGGTAGATAGAGCTATGGCTCGGCTGTGCGGAAATAGCGCATTTATGGTTATTTTTAACCTATCCAGAAGTCAAAGAATGTATAGTTGTATAAAATGATCGTCTCGGCGTAAAAAAGACAGCCGCACTGAGTTCGATGATTTTTCCGTTTTTCTCTCGTATTTGCATGAAATATCTGGCTAGATAGAACGGGAAGTATGTAGGATCCGTTAGAATTTTACTATTGAAATATGTAATTACTTCTTAAAAGAACGCCTTGTAGGAAGAACATTTCCATCCTTTAAATTCACAATGAAACATGCGCGCAAATACTCGTGATGATGATGATGATGATCACAATAGAATATTTGGAATTGAGGATTTTGTACTTTTCGAGGCCTTCTGGTTTATAGTACTTTTGCTTGTTACTTGCAATTAGTTCTGTTCGAGTGTTTCGATCCCTTTCATAAGAACTATTCGATAAATTACTTTCATAATTGCAATTATTTTCCCCGCGTCCTCTTGGTACCCTAGGTTATATTCTCACTAGAGTGTATTCTTCCTCCTCATTGCACAATGTTGACTGTTCCTTCTCATTAACCTTTTTAAATTTCAAAGTAACCCTGTTTTTAAATAATTACAAAAACTGGAAACGTAGCAAGAAATCTGAGCACGTAAAGTAAATTTCCTGTATTTTAGAGAATGTTTTAAAAATATAAAATAATTTGACCCGTAGAAGACCATAAGACCATATAGAACTGATGAAATCATTGGTAATGTCAAATAAATCCATCATGTAATAATACAATTAGAAAAACCTAAACTTCGATGTATCCGGTTCTATATATTGATTGTATCTATGATATAAGTTCCGGCAATTTCACCTTTTTTATTTTTATCTTAACTCTTTTTAACTTTAAATTAATTAATCTTTTTAACTTCCAATTAACGCTTTTCAATTTTAACTTAACACATTTTATTTCTAAATTAACCTTTTTTACACAAAAATAACACTTTTAACTCAAAATTAACTTTTTTTAATTAACTGTTTCTTTAAAGCAGTAAAAAAGAAATGGTATGAGACATTAGCATGTAAAGTAAATTCGCGTTCATGAGGTTTGTATCCATAATTGGGCTCTTAGACGACCGTATGAAAATAACTACAATAAAATTAAACAATTGTACAAAATTAAGAATAAAATTAAAGGGTTCTTCGTTTATTTTTAGCATTTTCGAAAATACCAAATTGGGTCATATCTACCGGAAAACCAATTAAAATTGTAATTAATTAAAATATAAAATTCCTTATCCAAAATATCACAGGAAACTTCATTAAAATTAAAATCAATTGTTGTTGTCTTAACTTTACAATTTAAAAAAAATTAAATGTGTTCTTATCTGAAACACTGGACAAAATTTAAAGTTATATAAAATTAAATATAATGATTTCTAAACTATTTACAATTGATTTGAGATAATTAAAAAAGTAAATTAATCGGTCTGTGAAATAATTATATTATTTTTTTAAAATCTTGAGTTAATAGCACAATCATTTGTTTGTTTTTATAATTAATTTTAGATATCAATTAATTTTAATTGTAGTTAATTTTCAAACAAACTTCTAAGAACCTAATTATTTTATATGAAAAAAAAATTGTTCACATATGGGGGAATTTTATGTAATGTTTACATTTCAAACCATGTGTTAGGTGGTTTTTATGCTTTAAAGGAAGTGTTAATTTGGAATTAAAATTGATTAAATTGAACTTAAAAATAATTATTTGAAATTCAAAAAATTGAATACGAATTTAAAAACAGTTAATTGGCAATTAAAAACGATTAATGTGAAGTTATTGAATCGTTAATTCAACAGAAAATAGTTATACAGACTTATCCCCTTAGTCGACAAGTCTAACGTAATAAAGT